TGGGGCTTAGCAAGATGCAAGTTGCGAAGGCAGTGGCAGGATTTCCATGCGTGCTTGGGTTGAGCATCAAGATGAATCTGGAGCCAAAGTGCACCTTGTTTGGACTGCATTTTTCCAGTGAGCAAGTTGCGAATCTTGTTGCTTCATGTCCCAGAATCTTCTCCTACAAATACAGCCGCTTGAGCGAACGGCTGACCATTCTGGCGCTTCGAAACGAGACCGCCAAACTGGCAACCACTCACATGCTACCTGATGCGCAATTCTTTGAAACCTACGGATCTCCAGATGAACTGAAGTCTGTTGACGTTTAGACCCAAAACGGAGCGAGTTGCTCGCATCCAAGAAGACACCTGGTGGAGGATGACAAGGTGTCGATGACATCATCCAGTGGTGCCAAAACCGGCGGAGTGGGGCCGTTTTCACTGGTGGGAGTGGGATTTGAGGGACTGGTCGAGTCAGGGACTGGTCGTCCAGACTGGTCGTCCCACCATTGTGCTTGAACACATAGGGCGATCCATGGCGATCCAAACTCATCCAGCCAGTTGGCGTTCCTTTCCGGGAATGCACCGCAAGATGGAAGTGCGTCGAGCTCATTTTTAGGGGTTCAGCTGTGGAGCAGGTTGAAGTTGAAGTATATCAGATGTTCACATGTGTTCAAGAAAGCAACTTATTTTTGACATGCCTTTGTACTATGTGGGTGGCTGCGGCTCAAAAAAGAAGAGCCCTCAGGTTGTAGTCTATTTGGGTATCCAAGTTTTGAGCCATCTCATGAAAACCTCGAACCTTGGCCGCCTTGGCCCGACCTTGGTCCGGTTCGCGCCAGGTGGAGGCCCGGTCCAGCAACTTCCGGATCGGCTCCTCCGACCCCATGCGCAGGCGTGAGACGTCTGCAGACGTTGGACATCGTTTGAAGAAGTGGTTTTCATCCCCATTGGGAAGATCCCTGTAGAATTGGGGACCATCAGATGGATTTTACATATATAGATGTTTTTTGTTGGGGATTGATGTCCATGGGCTGTAGCATGCAATTCTGAAGGCTGGTTTTGCAGCTTCTCAGTGGGTGAAGTAATGGCTTCTGCCCAGATCCAAATCAGGTGGAAGCTATGGAAGGTTGTTGTGTTTTCCATCTTCATTTGCATGGGTAGTTGCACATGAGCAAAGCTATGCCCTTTTTCCCGGATAAGCCAGCGAGGGAATACAAGTGGTTTGAGTGTCAGCTAGATCAAGTCACGTCTGGAAAATAGAATAGAAAGGATGACTTTTGTCTTTCAGAAAGATTGGGATGGGCCTTTGCTACTGCAGAGGGGATGGCCAAGACAAGAGACAAACAAGGTCCAGCTCATTGTTCGTTGAGGGGGAGGAATGTCCGAGTTAGGGGCCTAGCAAAGCCCTGCAAATATTGGCAAATTGGGAACAGATGAGTCTATTCCTTGCGGCACAACTCACGAGCAGCCCGAGAACAAGAATACAGTTGTTGGTCATGCACTCTTTTGACAACTCTTCCCATGATCAAAAGAATATGTGTTGAAGATTTAGAATCACGCATCCCACACGACACTGTCAACTAAGAGCCTTACCCGCTATGCCCATACGATCAGTCAGTTTCTTAACAATATGGCCTGTCCAAAACTTAGCTTTAGATCCGAGTTCTCTTTTTTGTAGGCAGCATCAGGTGTTTTCTTCTTTCAATTCAGAACACAGCGTTTGTATAGGTTGCAATCACCGCCCCGGGACTTGTGGTGGGTTCTTCATCACCACGTAGCTTCACTCACCTCCTTGGGGCCAGGCGTCAAGCGCAGGGCGAGATGTACAGCCCTTGCTTGTTGCTGCGCGTCAGCAAGATTCGGCAGCCAGGCACCGCTCGATCCAGGGTTCGCTGGTTGGCTTGAGATGAAGCTGGTTGACAAAGGATTTCATTTTGGAATCACTATGGTGATTCTTGGAAGCTTGTGGTGCTTCCACGAGTTTCCATTGGGCGCAAGCGAGGCATCCTTCACCCAACACCCGGACGAGACCACTCGCAAGTGTCGCAAGACCGCGAGCCTTTCGAATCATCAACTTGGACATGCACATGCAGACATCCCATGTGTTTGACCCACCCCTCAGAGGTTCAGGGATGTTAGAAAACCATAGGACCATATGGGTGCGATATTCAAAAAAACGGGAACTCCCAAAGACCGCCTCAAAGGTTTGGAGAATAGGCAAGTCTGCCCAGCCCTATTAAAATAAGCACCCATAGGCCCATATCCAATGTGGATCCAATGTGGATGGGGGTCGGAAATTGATTCATTGGGCAAATGGGGTCTGTCACAAGTCCTTGGAGTTTCCAAATTGCTGGACAAGTAGGACTGGATGATGGACCCTTGGTACTTGCTTCATCAGGAGGACTTTGACAGGGAAGAGAACTTTTGCATCAGGATCTTTGGAGGATTGCGTCGATGGGTGGTCTGTGCTTCCAGAGGAAAGAAGAACGGTTGGCAGGTTCCTGGACCAAGATCTTCAAGGAGGTCTGGCAGCACAAGCTCATGGTGAAGGAGAGCATGTTGTGATCGCAGCCGAACAGGAAGGTCACGAAACTCCCATATGTTCTTTCCAAGTGGCTCGAGACCCTGGGGACGGGACAGAGAAGCCTCTCTTGGATGGTTTCTTGTTATTTGATGTTGTTTGTGTTATGTTGTAGTTATGTCTAAGTTATGATTTATGTCTATTAAAACCTGTGATTTGCCTCGCCCAGCGGGTATTCCTATGAAATATTGGCCAGACCCTCCAACCAAAATTGGCCAGTTTATGTGGCGACCTGATGAACGTCCAGACCGTGACTCAACACATTTGATCACGCCATTCCGCTTGCTTCCAGATCCGGGATATATCAAAGAACGGCAGCTGTTGATTTGCCTTCAGAGATTCAGATGACAAGTATTTTCCCATAAACACCAAACACATTTTATGTCATCTGAATGTCCGTGTTCGATTCAGATGACATGTTTCGACCATAACAGATGATGTCAATCAGAATGTCCGTCTTTCTTTCGATCCGTTTGTCCCCACGTCCCACTGTCTTTTCTTCCCAGGAGCTCGGGCCTCAGGGCCCCCAGCGCTTCACCGGGCTTCCGGACGGCCAGACCTTCCTGCGCGCAGGCGGGCTCCGTCGAGACCGGTCCGGTCTTTGGTTCCGGGACCGTCTCGGTGTTCCGCTGCGGAGGAGGTATGTGGGTTGCCCTGAAGGAGCCCCATGAAGTGCTGGTGTTGATGCTATGAAGTGTTTAGTGGAGGAGGTAGCAGGTTTGGAGGTCAAAAACAAAGCAGGCTTGGAGGACTGGTACCAGGGTGATAATCAAGTTGAAGTTACAAGTCTGAGAGCGAAACTGGTACAGACTTGCACCAGGTACAGACAGATTCTTTCTCCCAAAATGAGGGAAGCCTAACAAGCTGCCCTGGTAGAAGGGGATTCTGTCTACAACCCCCTCGCCGGAGGCGGCCCCCAGGCTTTTGATTCAATCCCATCTCCTCAAGGTCAGAGAGGGACCGAGGTCGATGATTTCTTCATTTGGACTCTTATGTTGCACAGTTTGATGGGAAAAGCTCAAATGATCAGTATCTCATGGTTTCTTTCAAGAGAGATCCTATACCCTCTTCAAATTCAAATCAAATGCCCATGCAGTGGCCCTGTGAAAGCCTCAAATCGAATTCCGGAGACTGGGACCTCTTCATGCAATCGCCTCAGACTTTTGCCAACTCCCAGACACTTTCCCCAACTCCAGCACCTCCAAGGTTTGGAGCCGAGATGTTCGATGTCTCCCTACTGCCTACTAGTCCAAGGACCAAGTAAAACCTGGTCCTTGACCTCATTGAGTACTTGTTTTTGCATGACCGGACCCAGTGAAATGAGGTCCTTTAAGAACCAGGTAAGACCGGTCATTTGTTTCTTTTGGTTCTCCCGACGACCGGGTGCTCTGAAAGAGGCTCCCCTCCAAATGCCAGCTTGATCAGATGGTCGATCTAGCTGTGGGTTCAACCTGGAGCCCGGAACTCACCATGGTAGGTTGATTTGCATAGTAGTCATTTCTTTGTTCTACCTCGCAGACATGACGAATCCCAGTGAGACAGAAGAATGCCGCACCCATGACTCCTACTCAGTCATTCCTTTGCTCATCTTCATGTTCGGTGGGAAAAAAAAAGACAAATTAAACATCCAAGGTCTTACCTGGTCTTAAATGACATCCAAGACAGATCTTACCTGGTCATGGGTCCAAGGTCTTACCAGGAAAAACCAACATCCAAGGGTCCGAAGGGTCCCTCCACTTTTGACCCATCTGACAGTGGATCTGACAGGTTACAACCTGGATGACCCCGACTTTTGGGGCAATGCGGCCTGGACGGCAGCCTCTCTGGCAGTCGGTGGTCGGTCTCCCGGAGGAGTCACAGCCTGGAGAAGTCCGTTTGACCATTTTGAAGGAAAGGTTGAATCTGGTTTTGTAGTGAAAAACCGTGAGTAGAAAACAATGGCTGTTGAGGGTTTATGCTTAAATTTAATGGTGGTGTTTATAACTTCTAGGGCTTCGATGAGACATGGGAGGATCCGACTTAGCAAGAGCAAAGGACTGAGAATGTCAGATGAGGACTTCGACATGGAAGACTTCAGTTAAGGGGAAAGTTTGTGTCAGGTGGGACAAGATGTTGTGACATTCTGCCAAGATAGACTGAAGAAACCTTGAGGATGAAACCTGGGTCATGGGTAGGAGAAATCTGGGCGTTCACGTGTAGCTGCTCTTGTGGTGACGTCACTTGCTGAGTGAGATAGATGATCATGGGTCGATCATGTTCAGTCAGGTTTCAGCTTCTTGAGTGGGGTCAGGTCTTGGGCATCGGACGGAAAGGGTACGCTTCTGATTCTACCACTTGCTTCAGGTATACAACACGTCCCAAGTCTGGGTCATGTAACCCACTCTCTCGAGTATTTCCTTCTAGCACTTCATGTTTGCTCTTTCTCGCGGGTTTGTCTGCAACGAGGTGGACCAGTATGTGGCATCCACCATGATGCTCGACAGACCTCGGGGTGTTCGAGGTCGTGTTGGACACAGCTTCGGCACCCCAACGGTCAGAATTGGGGTTGGTCGTGGAACTCCAAATATATTCCAGACAGCCCATGTATGGAATATCTGCCGCCCTTGACCCCTTTTGAACTACTGTAAACATGTCTGTCCCCCGTTGTTGTGTTTGGGTGTGTGTTGCCATTCTGGTTGGAGGTGACAGATACGGTGAAGAACACCTAGTCTAGATCTGTTTGCTTTCAAGGAGTCTCGGTTAAGCTCGACTCCCAGGCTTAGGGGAAGACTTCTAGAACTGGCACGTGTTGAAGACTAGTTGTTAGATCTGACACTCCCTGGAATCATCCGTGGAAGGGACCAGCTATGTTGGTGTTCATCTCGGTGGCTGAGTGACAAAACTTGTCCAGTTGAATCAGAGGCGTGTTCTCATTGACTGAATATGTTTGTAGAGAAGCTTCAGGATTCAGTCGGCGAACCATGGCCGCTGTCCTGTTGTTCCCCCCCCAGCTCGGATGGCCAGACGATTAACATCCTGGGGGCACAGGAGCACAGAACTCCGGACGCGTGGGACTGCCATAGGAATGCCGATCAGTTGGAGAGGTTTGGGGGGTCAATGGGGTCAGTCCCATTGGTTGTGTGTGGGAACGTCAAAGACCTCAACCCAGCCATAGCTCAAGGGATGGCCTCCGGCGGAAGGGCCGTTTTCTTTTCCCATCGATGGCCTGACTTACTACTGTAAGTTATAGTTGATGAATCGAGGGGATACCCCCAGGTGAACAACTGGTATATGATTGATGTATCTGAATTCAGATAGGGGGAGACCTCTGGTCCTGGAATTGTTCGGACAAAAACGACCCGAGGGTCGTCCAGGGGGAAGACCCCGGAGACCGACCAGCATCGACCCTTCTATGCTTCTCCCAAGGACCTCCAGCAGTTCTCTTTCCCCCCAACAGTTCCATGGAGTTGGGTGCCCCTGTCACTCAAATTTAGGTAAGGACTACCCCACATCCACGGCTCCTGGATGGGACGAGCCACACCACCCCTTTCCCCTCAGGAAGCAGTCGGGCTACACCTCGGCGCCAAAGAAGCTCAGCGTCGCCTGACCGACTTCCGCCACGGTGGAGCCCGTTGCGGCTGCTGGAGCGCGGAGAGATGGACAGCTGGGTCAATGGGCTCCGACACAAGGATCCAAAGACGAAAACCTTGGAAAATCCAAGAACTTGATAGTGTGAACATGTGTGAATCATGTACTTTGAAGGACACCTACAGAGACCATGGTTTTCTCTTTCCACGTCCCTTGCAATTGCCTTCTGTTTGCCCATCTACCGTCGCGATCCAGATCCGCAGCCGCCTCGTTCGTCGGTCGGAGGGATCAAGGTGATGGAAACAAAGCGAAGTCGTTGGTTAAATTTTGGAGACGGTATGTACGATACAGGGGTTTCCGAGTAGATGTCACAAAATCCGTACAAATCGTTATAGTTATATTAGATTATTAGATGATACAAGCTGAGCTGAATCCCAGGTGCAGGATCTTGTGCTTCCAACCAGAGGGGGCTTTCTACTGGCTGGAAAAGCCCTTTGCCACCAGCCCTTTGGTGGGAGTTACTTATAGGCTAGCTAGCTACCAAAGCTGTTTGGGTTTGCCCGGAAGGTGTGACGGCAATCGAGCAGATTCACAAGTATGTAGACACAGCCAAGTCATGCTGCTTGTATAGGTTGTGGTAATTCCACTGTTGATGAACAAGCTCTGCTCCAGCATTTGCGAGCAGATAAAAGATGCAAAGGCGCCAAGTGGAGATTGACTTGGCAACGTAGAGATCCCCACGAGATCGGAATCAGCAATGATAACTTGATAACCATGAGTTTTCATCCGGGCTTTGTATTCTCCCTCCCTCTCTATAGGGCTTTGAACCAATGGAAAGGGTTCGTTTTGATTGTCCAGCCTTTTGCGTTTGGGTGTCCGGTCCAGACCCCAAGGGTGTCAGGTCCCCCCCGGTGCAGAAATCACCTTCCACCGGTGCTAGGTCTGTCCTCGACCCCAAAAAGCATGTAAACAGCCTGCACCGACGAACGGAGCGGCTAACGCATGCCCAAAACAGCCCAAAACGGGGGTTGGCGGGGATCGATCTTCCGATTTCACCGCGGTCCGCGGAACGCTGAGCGGAGAAAAAGGGGGGACGAGGGCGAGGCCGCGGCCTTTCTGCTCTAGCCGCGAGGGTCGCGAGTCCAATGAGAGAGGGGTCGGATCTGGTGAGCAACAAAGGTATCCGACTTCTTGTTCCAACCCTTGTGGAGCGACGCCATCCGGGAGTGCCCCAACGGCATCCAGGATGGCCTTGCGATGGCCTTGAGTCTTTGCGGTAAGGGAAACACCAAGGTACTCTCAAGGGGCCTTTTGCAGAGCCGTTGTGACGCACGAGCTCACGAGCTCACCATCAATTTTTAGGAGGAAGGAGCTGCTGCCGGACTTGGGAGGGTCCATCCTACACGTCTCCAGTAGCAAAACAGGAAGTACAACATGTCTGGAACCACAAGAGCAAGGAGTAGGAGACATGTCGTCACCACCCCTCCGGCTTGTGCGCCCCCGAACTCTCATGCCTCAGGATTCCCATCCACCCACCTCCCCAAAATTCATGGTGCACCACACACATTCCCTCCCGCACTACCTGGCGGCGTGCGCAGGTGGAGGATTCCCGGGCCATGCTCCGAGTGGCTTCGAAGTTCCGTGCGCAGCTGGCGCGCGTGCGGAACGCCCAGGCCCAGGCCCAGGCGGCCGCGGTGGAGGCGCGCGGGGTGTGGAGTACGGCGTGGAGAGCATGGAGATGCCCATCATGGGGTTATTTGATGTTATTTCAAGTTTTGGATCTGTTTAACTCTGATCGAGGTACGTTCGATTGGATGAGGTGGGTTGAATGAGAGGTTTTCGTTTACTAATGTCTATAGTATTAAACAGAGGTGTGCAGCATAAGTAAGTGCAGGCCTCGTTGCAGGGTCCATTTATCATTCCTGTTGCTCCTTGGACCTTGAACATTCCCCATGTCCCACAACGTTATTTTTGAGCCTCGGAAGCTGTTGTGTTTGGCGCAACTGTCGGATGAGTTTGATGAGGATGAGCTTCATTTTATGGTGAAATATGGGAGTTTTGTCAAGGACCGGACCTGAAATGGTTCCGATGCAGATCAGATGGAATATTCAAGGTTTTGACAAAGGCTTGTGTTTTGGCCGTCCACACCCTAGCTCATCCTCTTAACTGCAGGGGTGGGGTAGGGCCCGCCTTTTCGACAAAAGCTTTGAACAGCGCAGAACTCGAGCTGCATGATGGCTAAACCGGGCACTAGCAAGTGATAACAAGTTGGTCATCCTGGGCTTCTGTGCTGAGATGAAGGAGGAGCTACCCTCCCTCCGGCTTCAGAGCTGGGTGACGTCTTCGGCGTGAGGCAGATCACCATCTCATACCAAAGTGGATAATGTTGGATCTTGATTAGTCAAAGGGATCCCCTCCCCTCCCCTCCCCCTAAACAAATGGGAGGCCCTCTGTAATATCTGTAATAAACTAATCAGCATCCAACATTCACCTCAAAAGCCTTGTTTGGGGGGGGGAATTGGTTTTCCACCTCACTCAAATCCAACAGTTGGTTTTTCGGAACCTTTAACCAGGGAAACGGCTTGGGGGTCCGCCACCATCTTATACCGCCAATGTATGTTGTCGCTGTTGAAGGTCACTCGAAGATCGTTTGGCGGCGGGAAGCTGGAAGCCGACAAAGATGCAGCAGATGAACATGGAGCAACTGCATTGTTTTTCTTTAGCAGCTGGACAAGGGAAGTTTGGAACTGGTTCCACTTCTTCCTGGAAACTGGAGCTGAAAAAAGATGCAGCAGATCAGATGAGTCCGGCAAAACACCGCACGTGCGGATCAACGGCCTGTTGAACCAGGCCTTTGTGGATTCGCAGGCCATCTGCGATGGGACAACGGCTCGGTGGATCGGTGTCCCTGTTTCAACGGCTAGTTGCGAAAGACAGTGCTGCCCAAGGTACAAAACAAACGCTGCCCAGGGTGAAGAAATCATGCTTCGTTTGCCGCAACTTAGAATGGTGTGCCTTCCCAGACAGATCCAACAAGCGTCGTTTGCACTCCGGTTCAACCGGAATGCTTCGTCCTTGTGGGATCTGGTGCGGCAAGTCGGGCGGCCGCGAGCGCGGTTGCGCGGTTCGGGGCTCGATGACTCTATGTGCACTTGCTTATGGAGGATCTGCAAAGGGCTCGGATTCCATTGGCGCTTGTGGACTCGTGGACCACATCCATGCCCCACTTGCTGCGACAAGAGACCAAACTCAATCTGTTTGCCAACCGTCGTCCTGTCATGCTCCCCGTCGAGTCACCATACGAGTCACCCCGTGGTGGGTTTCTTAAAGAACCGTCCAGCACCGATAGCACCGCTGTTTCCGCTTCCACAGACACACTTAGATTGGTCTGTGGCCCCCTGCCTGGTAGGTTTAACTTGCATTGAGTGGTGTCCTTTGGTACAGGTGTGGACACACACACACACACACACACACCCGGGACCCCATCCGGACTCATCCGCACCGTCTCTATAGGCGTCTCCAGGCGAAAGCGAAGGAAGGCCGATCCGGATCCGCCCGGTCGCGTCGTGGGGTCTGGCGCGAGGGGTGGGGTCTTACGTCGTGTGGTGAACTGAACTGGGAAAGCCATCTTTTTAGGGAACTCTTCGGGAAACTGGTTCTGTTTTTTTTCTTGGTTGGATTCCATCCGAAGGTTGTTCGAGAAGATCGGATAGATTCGGATACCCATGAAGACTGAACCTGGTGAACCTGGTGCAGGGAACTCAACCTCTCTCAGGAGGTACTGTACAGGTACCGCCGACTAATTTGGCAAAACCTATTCGCTCGGCGACTGAACGCCATGTTTGGCCTCCCAAGTTGGACCCCGCCCGCCCAGTCAATGGGGCCTTATATGTTCAGGTACATTGACCCGACTGAGGCTAAGGGATACAACAACCCACGCAGTAGTTCTTTACATTTTTTGACCAAGCAAGAAAGGGTTATACAATGTTAAATAGTGCTTCTTGGAATTATCCTGAGAATGGTAATCCATCTGCAGTACATCCTTCTTTGAAGAGCCGCAGCTGAGAAAAGGTTGGGTTTGGGGTCAAGCTTCAAAACAACTGTTCTGTGAACAAACATTCGATGTTGTTCAATCGAACATTCTAATTCGCACCATTCTGTGACCATCGAGGTCTTTACAGCCAGTTGAACAGACCCGTTGCTTCCAATGTTGCTTCCATCTGACTTCAGCTTTTCCTGTGACTTCAACCAGGTGAAACCATCCCCCCCCACCACCCTGACGCGAGGCCGACCGCCTCCACGGTCGCCCCGGGCTCCTCGCGCAGCACGACCGAGCTGAATGGAGCACCAGCGCAAGGGGTGCTCAGCTGTGGAAGACGTGTAGCTCTTGAAGGATGAACTGATCATGTCCGGGTTTAGTACAGCTATGGCCAGCACTCGTGATCGGGGAATTCGGTCAGGGTCTTGACTCCAGCCGACCTGTTTTTACCTCCGCGGCAGGAAGCCTTGGAACTGACCAACCTACCGACCTTCTGACAGTTGAAAGCAGTTTGCCGTTCCCTTTGCTTGCTTTCAGCGAGAGGATATCATATGATATGTTTTTTTAATGCATCAAGAGGCTATATTCTTTCTCCATATGCGTTTACTTGTTTGAATTCATCAAGAGGCGACCTTCTTTGCCCTTGGCGCACCAGGTGCTGGGGTTTCTGTGAAGGGCCCTTCACCTTGTGCTCCTGAGGTCCCCTAGGGGCTCCGTGGGTGCCAAGATACTGGAGACGGGGGGGCCGCAGAGCGGAGAGATGGGTCAGTCTGGGTGGCTCTTTTTGGAGTTGATGGCTTCCCCAAAAAAAAGCGGGAGAGGGTCCGAGTTTGGTATAATACTCAGACGATCCATGGGTCTGGAATGATGGAAGATCGAGCTATATTTTTTCCGGTGAACATGGTCCATCCATGCGTTCGTCATAGATGGCATGGTCTCGGAATAGACCTGGATTTGGCTCAGAAGGGTTTAGGGTCATATGTTGTTCGTTTCTGGTTGTATCTGAACCCCGAGTCTCCCCTGTCAATTGTCACTGGCATGGAAGCCTTTCCCTGTGCGCCCCCCTTAGTCTTTGTATGTCTTTGTCATAGCGACACCGATGAAGACCAAAAAGTCTACAGAGTTTGGTTTGATTAAACCTGAGAGGGATGGCTCCTGAAACAAAAAAGAAAAACACATTTCATCAGAAAGACAACGGATCAATGAGCAGTCAATTGGTTTGAACTGAACCAAAACATCTATTTCAGGAGGACAGATTGTGAAACACCCAACTCATTCAGTTCACCTTCAACATATTTCTGCGTTGACCCCCGATCCATTGACAGGGGGTGCAACAGCGAAGAGACATATGGGCCACCAGCACCCGAAGGGGTGCGCCTCGGACGAGGTCCCGTTGTTTGGCTGGAGCACCCAAAAGAGTCCGCTGGAGCACCCATCCAGTGGAATGACTGTGGATCAATCAAGAATCCATTTGGATTGCAATAGCTCTTAATTCTTATGGGGCGATTGATTGATCAACAGTCTACACTACTCTCTCCATTCGGCTTCCCAGTTTAAACCGTGCACTGCTTACATCCCCCATGCCGGGTTCTGCGCGAGCGGACCAAGTGTAATTCGCAGCTATTTTGGAGATCTCAGAAATTGGATGGATACTCTTTTTTTGACATCCTCCAAAACCAACCAGTCTGCTGAACACTGGGGTCGATTTTTGAATTTAGGTGGATGGCAAAAGCGGATTCTGGTGCTTCCTAGACAGTTGCCGATATATTCTGGTCGTGAAGACCAATAAGAAAGCAGTCCTCCAAAGAGAACTTCTCGATCAACAGCCATTAGACAGACTACCAGCAGAAGGGAAAACACATCAAATAAGTCAGAAAAGACACGCACGGTGTGTGCTCCATCGGGTCTCCGTACGACTCAAAACTGATGAAAAGCCGTGCACTTTCGGATGTATACCCCCAGCAGAGTGAAAGTTCTTCAACCCCGGAGTGAACTCTACCAATCCCCAGGGTTTGTTCATGTTCCATTCATGTTCCATCCCAGGGTGTTTTGGTCTTCAACCGGGCCTCTACCGGACGCCTTAACCGCGCCTGAAGAGGATCACGACCACGTGGTTTGCCTGGGCGACACCAACTCGCGGCTCCATTGGCCTGGCCACCTGGGTGGAATGCCCCTGCAACAGGCGCCCGGCGACGCGCGGCGCGACTGGCCATCCCCAAACGCTCCAGGGGACTGAAATATGTTGGTCTTGTCCTATTACCTGTAACAGTCAGTAATTTTGGACAAGGCCTTTACAAACCATCATCCACTGTTACAGGTAATAGGATAGACCCAAGGAATATTTTCCGTTGACCACCTTTCAACCACCCCAACTGAGCGGCCAAGATGCCAGTCTGCAGAGTCTTTGGGCATCGTCTTCTGCGCCGCATCGGTCGAGTCGAAGAGACGAGCGTTCCGCGTTCCGCGTCGTGTCGCCCGTCGCCCGTCGGGCGCGGCTTCGGCTTCCACGGCGTCAGGCCCGGCAGAAGGTGCAGCAGAGGCGCTTCGGCGAACTCTTGGCCCTGGACCAGCCCCTTGGACGCAGAACCGCGCGGAGGACCGCGGCGCGGAGCTTCTCCGCGGGACTGGTGATTCTCACCGGGATTCAGCCTGCCGGTGGTAGGAGAGGAGTGGAGAGAAGAGCCAGAGTTGGCATTTGTTGTTTTGTTGTTGAGTCTCGGTGCTATTCGGCGTTGGGACCTGAAAAGGGGTGGTGCTCTTATAGTAAAGTATGTGACAGAAGACAGAGAAGGGGGAGACTGACCAGATAACTGACACGGATTCTGGACATAAATTGGACTTTTTCCATCGCCAAGTTCGAAGGGTTCATAATGGTTGAGCCGTGTTGCAGTGCCAAGTTTCCAGACATTCTTGAAGTAAGAAGTCCTGGAGCAAAACCTAAGATTGTACTAGTATACAGTATACAGCTTAGATGTTTGGCCGATTGACTGGCAAATTAGCCATCTCAAGATTTCGTCCTTCAAGCACCGGCACGAGAAAACGAGCGATTGCTGAAGAGATTGCGAAGGTGAGTCCCTTTGTTTGATCATGGATAATTTGCAAATCATGCTTATGTATACATATACTCGATAATCTTGATACTTGTATCATGTTGGCCTGATTAAATCAGGTTGTTTGGAGGGCCCTCATTATGCGTCCTGTCGAAACATCTCAGCAAGCTTCAGGTTGGCCTTGATGCGGCGGGACCGGATGGCGTTCCATGATTTCGAGGACGGCGCTGCTTCTACGCCTCCAAACCGTAGACCTTTAGACACACGAGCCGAACATGGGTCTCTTGCCGAACATAAGACCCCCCCAAACCACCCCTGGCCGTTTCTCGGCGAATATGCCACTCCCATGGAGGGTCTGTTTTTTTGTTTTTTCGGAAGAGATGATGCAGACAGACAGCTCAAGTGGTTTTCTGAGTCCGTCAACAACTCAAGAAGTCCAAGCCCCCCAGTCCGCGACCCGTCTGGGCGACCCGTCTGATTGGCCGATCAGGCCAGAGGTGGTTGAAAAGGGGGAAGATTGGATTCGGTATATATTCCAGTCCCATTGGTCGTGTATGGAGTATTATGGAGGAATATATGTCGTATATATATGTGGTTTTCTCTCACGTGAGATATGATGATATACTTCGTACTCTGATGTTCAACCTCGAAAAGATCGGGTAAACCACCAACGTTGCGCGGTGTTGTGCATGCAAAGCTGTCAGGGCAGTGCCCGGGATGGTTTGTTTTTTGTCACTTTTTTGGCCTGGTTCCTAATGGTCATGCTATATACCCAGATCTTCCGTTTTGACTGCTGAACTACCCCACCTGGAAGTCATACTTTCTCACTGGTACAATGAGTCATAATGAGTCATGGGGACTCTCAGGGATGTTTCTTTTTTTCCCGTTTTGGACAGATCGACCGTGTCGGAGAAGCTGGAGGATCGTCGATTTCGATTTCGGGCTCCGAACTGATGTGTCTGCTGGTCGCCTGGCGGTCGGGTGTGGCCACCCTTGGCGCAGATCCGGGGGAATGCGTAGAGGAGCATCCCATCTATTTCTTACCGTCCTACAAGTGGCAACCAGAGACTGATGCCTATGATATGCGCTCCCAGAAGCACGTGCCTGTCCGGATGGCCCAGAAGACCTCCACGGTGGACGGTATGGGGAGGAACACCAGGAAAAACATGGAAAACAGCAATGAGACGGGCCCAGTAGATTCCAGGTGTCACAAAGCTATGAAGAAATCCTGCACCACCAGAAGTGGAGAGGGAGAGTCCATTGTTTACAGAGGTTGAGTTGTTGAAGCTTTTGTTTGGATGTCTTTCGCCCTCAGTAAATAGTGCGAATTCGATCGAATGCTTCTTCTAAGTACACCGAACATACAGTACTGAAAGATTGACCCAGACGAGCTGGACAGATCTTTGGCATGAAACTTCCTTGTTTGCAAGGTTTCACCTTGTTGGCGTTCCACAAGTGTTTGGTGAAAAGAGAACATGTCCATCGAGCTGGTGGTTGGTCCCTGCATTGGCTTTGAAAGGTCAAGGTCGAGGTGTTGAGGTTCAATGTATAGAGCTGATGGTCCCTGTAGGAACTCTTGCTTGAGAGGGTTGAAAAAGGATTCCCCATGCAGACATTAGAGAGTGAAGAGAGGTCATTTCTTTTGCAAGTTGGGAGATGTTTTCAGACATAGCAAACAACTTGGAACTTCATTGTCATGTCAGAACTGCAGGGGGGAATTTACTGAAGACTTTCGCGCCAATGCTCGGCTGCTGCAGCCCCTTGCTGGCTCATAGCAATGAAGTTCTCCTGGCTCTTTCTGCTAGGTGGGGAATGGCAAGGGGATACCAGGGCGGCTTGAACAACTTATCCAAGTAGAGGACAGTTGTAGATACGACAGCACTTTTGGACTTGCGCGCGGGTGGACTTGAAATGAGAGCCAAAAAGAGTGATCGTATATATATATATATATGGGTTCTCCACCGTCCAGCTGCACTATCACCAAGAACTTCAACGGATTCGGCGAGACGCTTACGCTCACCATAGTCCAACTGTGTTTCGATACTAGACCTGACATGACCCCACTACTTGACGGAGCTGAGATAGTCCGTCAAAACAGAAGCCGTCTCGTCATTGCTAAGCAGGAGTCGGTAGAGATGAAACTACAAGTGCTACAGTTCTTTTGTACTGGTGTGCGGTGTGCTTCTTTCTTGGCAGTTTGTAGTTTCTTATTCTTATTCTTGGGACCTTGCCATGAACAAGGAGGCCAATGTTGCCTCGTTGGGGCTTTGGTGCAAGCGGCGACATAACTTTCAGAACTAGTCTATATATGACTTTATATCATTTGTTTGGCCACCCATCCGGGACCCTCCAACACACGATTTTCGAGTGTGGTCAGGAAGCACCTCATCATCCACCAAAGCGGGGCCAGTCAGCACAAGCACAGGCGTGGTACGTGTGGCTGGACTCACCGGCGTGGAGGAGACCGAGCGTAGCGTCGGAGGACCATCAGCACTCCACTAACAAGCAGGCAGCAGTGCCAAAGAAAGAAAGATTCGGTTTGAGTTGTTTGGATGTGGGTTTTGTTGAAACCAAAACCAGGTTTTTCAAGAAGACTCCATAAATTATATATAATTAGTTTAGGACGAATTGTGTTTCTTCACATAATTACCGAGACAGAAGCAACCGCACCATTTGCCCAACCTGCTGGGATTTCCAAGGCCTTTACTGAGCATTCTGTGGAGTGAAGGACAAGGTTTGCTCCCAGTCAGGTGTGTAGGTCAATCAGGCAACGAACATCCAGAGACTACTCATCTCAGGGTCATTGTAGTAAGTGTCATTCAGCAAGCTGCTCATTGACCCTGGCCACGGCCACATCTAATTGATTGGGCGGTCAATTCTTGTGCTTTCCATCGAAGGATTCACAGCGATATCTCTATCCCAGCCTTTCTCTATCCCAGCAGCAGGCGGTCAATTCCAGTGCTTTCCACATTGAAACCATCGGTTTCCATGTCAGATGGCCGTTTCCGGATCCGAGTGCTGAGACAAGTGGAAACACCGCGCCAGACACATGATTGTCTCAAGCAGGGTATCTCAGGGCATCTCAGGGTTAAAGAGTTAAAGATGCTTTTGACTATTTTTGGCTACTTATTTCTTCTGTTTTGAAAGGGTGGCCCGTGTCTTCTGTCTTCCCAAATCGCGAATTCATGCTGCAAGACGCAGCTCCTCTACTGAGTAGTTCTCTCTCGCTCGGAAGATTGGACTGGCCAAAGCTCTGCGAGCGCAGCGATCAATTTCTTCCGTTTGAACTCTCTCGGCCTAGGGATATCTTCTGTTTGATGTTGTCATCTTCGTTTTGTTGAAACCGTGACTGCCTCCTGTTTGAGAATACTGATTCCTATCTTCTATCTTTCCCATTCGGATTATACAAACTCTTTATACACTCTTGAAGATGTTTTTTTTTTTACATATATTCAACTGATTGAAAAGACAAGTTCAAACTCAGATAAGAACATATAAGAACTATTAAGAACTACTTACAGCTACTTGTTTTGACAAACATGAGGGTATTACACATGTTTTGTAAACAATTACTTTACTTTACTTCAAAAAATCATCACCATGGCATTTCAAGGCATATCCACAATGCAAGGGCAATTTTTTCGTCTGCAACATTGCAAGCAAGTCTGTCTCATTGCCCGCGGCTTGCCACCTGGCACATCACTTCAATCAGTACTCAAATGTGGCCAGCAGTAATGATGGAACATAAACATGCCAAAACATGTCAGAGTACCACCTGAATGAGTCATCAAATGTGGCGAGCAGTGATGCAGACAAACATGCCAAAACATGCCAGAGTACCAATTGATTCAGTCATCAACTGCGATCTGGCGCTTGCTGTTGAGGCTTGGCAGTGCATACTGCGATCTGGCGCTGGCTATTGAGGTCCTTTAGTGCCCACTGCGATCTGGCACTTGCAGTTGAGGTCCGGGAGTGCCCACTGCAATCTAGCGCTTGCTGTTGAGGTCTGGCAGTGCCCGCTGCGATCTTGCGCTTGCTGTTGGGGTCCGGTAGTGCCCGCAGCGATCTGGAGCTGGCAGTTGAGGTCCGGTAGTGCCCACTGCCCACTGTGATCTGGCGCTTGCTGGCGAGGTCTGGTATAGTGCCTACTGCGCTCTGGCGCTTGCTGTTGAGGTCCGGCCGTGCCGTTTGCGATCGTGCACTTGCTGTTGAGGTCCGGCCGTGCCCTCTGCGATCGTGCACTTGCTGTTGAGGTCCCGGAGTGCCCACTGCGATCAAGCACTTGCACTTGAGGTCCGGGAGTGCCCGCTGCGATAATGCACGTGAGGTATAGCCCAGAGGGGAGGAGAAGAGGAGGAGGAGAAGACCTCTGATAAAATCTAAGAACCCTCACTTGGCAGGTGGCTTAAAAAGATCGTGATCCAACCTTTTGACCTTTTGATGAAGCTTCTGATTCACCTTCCAAAAGCCATGGACAAACTTTACTGGAATGTGGCGAGCTCACACCACACCTGCTGCGCCAGGAGACCGCACTACCCGAGGACCATGCTGTCTCCAAAGCCGGACTGAGCGCTTTGAGGCCACGATCGAGGGAGGTCGCCAGGCTTCTCAGGTGTTTGTGGTGTTTGTGAGATGTTTTACGAGGGCGGTCGCCGCTGAATGATGTCAATACACCAAGAAGCACTACAGGTGGCATTGTTCAGTCAATCCATAAGTGGCACATCAGCAATCGTGAACTGGAGAGCCACAAAGAACATCAAGCACTAGACCCCTGAAAATTTCATCATCCAGGCAAACCCCCCCAACTCCAAGGCAAACCCTGTCATATCAGGGTGGTGGTTTCAGAGATGTCCATTTTCAACCTTTACTTGGGGTGGTTGAATCCACTGACTCCTATTTTTGGTTTCGTTTTCGTTCAAACCACCAACCAGATAAGATTATATGTGTTGAGTCAATCGGCCCAATCGGACTGGTATACCGATTACCCCTCACCGTTCCCATTGTTCGCTTGCGTCCTTCATCGCCGGAGCGCTGTTCGGAGCAGGTCGGTCTGGGCTCCGCAAAAGACGAAAAACGGCGCTCATTCGGTCCGCGGGTCATAAAGGTGCAACAACGAACCCTGATCCAATAGCCATACATTTGTTTTCGAGTCGTGGGAAATCGCTCTTCTGATTGGTCTTGTCCTTTTCGGATCTAAAGAGCGTCAACCGGACACCGACCTGCCTAAGCCAGGTTTCGAAAGTTGCAACCGAGGCGCCGGGCGCCGATGTTGGTCACGAGGTCGAGGTCTTCAAAAAGACGCCAGATTCATAATCCAGGAGTAGATTATTTAAGGAAACTGGCCTTGTCTTGGAGGTTGGTTCATATTCTACTCCAGGATGGTTGTAGTTGTAGTAGCAAGATTCTTGAATTTTCCTGTTTTTGTTGAGCAAATCCAAATGTTCACACACACACACACTAAGCCTGTTTACCGAAGGCTTTCCATGGGAATCAGCTCGATTTGGTCGTTTCACCTGCCCTCTCAGAACTTTGGGACTTGCTTCTAACATTATACATACCTGCCCCCCTCCCGCAGTGCAAACTAATGTTGGAAGACAAGCGATCCCGGGGTTTGACACTCGTTCACGAACTGCGGGCCTTGTTGAAGCTCGGGACAAAGTCCGCAAACGACTGGAGGAGAAACTGCATGCCCTAGCCAACCTGAGCCAAACTGGTCAAGTAGATGATATGAGGTATGGGGTGACTGACGTAACATATCAAACAACTCCCAAATAGATGCCATCTTTATTATTCAACTTGAACATAGGCTGGTGCAACCCAAAGAAGAATAACTACCATATTTGGAGACTCAGGTTTTGATAGCTGAACACGTTTCAATCAAATCACATCCAAGGACCAAAGAGAAATCACATCCAGGGACCACGAAATGACATCGGATCACTTATATAAATACGCTGAGCACCAAAAAGCTATGACCTGCACACCGCCCCCTTTTCGCCCGCGCCAGGGAGGACGAGGTCCTCGCCGCGCTGGCGGAGCAGCGCGCGGCGCCGGCGCCGGCGCCAGCAGCAGGTGCCAAATCGTCCATGGGGGTGGTGTTAGGGGTCGACATAGAGGAGGTTTGGCAGCCAATGCTCCAAGACTGTTGCTGGGGTTCTTGGTCAAGACGGTGGCGTTCTTGGGGAGGGTGTAAAATCATCCGATTGGCGGTGAACATCCTGCAGCTGAGTCAATTAGTGGGGAAGCTTGGCCCGCGATGTTTGGCCAGGGAGGTCGTGAGAGAGTACTACCCTGTGGGCATGATTGCCGTCCAAGTGGTTGACAAGAGCTGCTGTATTACTTTTTTTGCTTTAGCAGAATATAAACCCAAAAACTGAAGGTGGTGGTGGACAATTAAGTTCTCAGTAAGGTTTGCAGGAGACGGGGAGCTTGTTCGGGGTGAGCAGTCCCATTGAAGGATCGTGGCGTGGTGGTCCCATTGAAGAATCGTGACGGGTGCGCTCCCGGGCCTTTGTTCTTCCTGGCCAAGCGACTCACAATGCCCAGCCCAGGTGGAGTGCCAAAGGAGGCCTGGTCAACACGTCCAAGAGCCGACCCGCCATCGATGGGAGTCAGTGGATAACCTTAGGACCTTTGGGGGGAATGGGCTTCCCCACTAAACAAGAATATGCGAAAAAAAGGTTAAGCTCTACTTTCCAGGGAAACTGAAGGAGTCAGTCAAAGAGGATCTCTACTTGGGGGGGAAAGGTCTGCAACCAGGCCCGATCATCGTCCACTGGGCCCTGGCAACGGATATACCCAAGAAGGAGGTACATTGCCTGAAATCATCATGGGTTCGTGGAAAACCATAACCTGTGTTGGTTTTCCATCTATGTAACATAATGTAACCATGATCTAATTGAGGGAGTGGAAGAAGTCATTGATTGATTTCAGGAAGTGTCTTTGGTTGTGGCTTCCAGATCGCTCTGCAGAGTTGCGCATCGAAGGATAAACTCCAACAAGAGGCAAGAAAGGAAGGTTGGCTCTGAAAGTGGAAGCTGAAAGGTCCGAACACGACCCGGAAGTTAAAATCACCTCCTTTCCTGGGAGTTTGCTTTGAAATCGGAAGGTGATTCAATCTGCGAAGAAGTGAAGTATCAATTTGGGAGGCCTAGTTCTTGTCAGCTTATCTAGTAGTTGCACTTTCCTCCACCAGTCTTTGGTTTGCCAGCTACAGTTGCGTTCGCCACTGGATTCTATGTTTGCCAGGTCTGGATGGGCTATCACCGGCTCTTCGCGCGCGACTATTTCGAACGTGCCCTGCTTGTCATTTTTTCCTCAAACCACCCAGACTTGATGAAATCGAGCAAGAAGGAATGAAGAACTGTGTGCTGCGCCCTCCCATGGGTGGTACTCATCTTTCGATGAAACGTCTTGCAGTTGTTAAGAGTGGTTAGTTTGGTGTTAGTTTGCTGGGTTGTGTGTGTTTTGTTCTCAACAGTAGACTTGTCACCACATCCATGTTGCAGCAAAGCCGCTACGCAGATATCTCAGGTGGCCTTTTTGATTTGCTTTGGCCATACTAAAGATCAAACACGATCAAACAGTTGAAATTGCAGTGGTAGTGGTAGCTATATTGGCTATAGACATCCTTCAACCAGTTTTCACTTAAAATGTGAAGGTAAAGCACCTTCCAACCGATCCACTCCTTTCACCATGGACTCTTCCGCGCTTCCGTAGACGTGTCCGCCGTTCCTCACGGCTCGCCCAGGCTGGGGTCATTGGTCCACCGGCGGCCCACAGAAGTTGCCAGGCAACGGTTGGCCCACCGGGTGAAGCGCGATGTGACCGGTGAAGCGCCGGTGTGACCGGTGCGTCCGGAATGGTGGACGGAGGTCACATCTTGGCCAAGCAGGCTAGATTGAAATGCTTAGACATGAAAACAAAGGCAGGATTTTGAGTGAATTCTTTAAGCTGGTTGAGATGCTGTCATGATTCTTGCAATCAAACCAAGAACGGTCTGAACTGTCTAAAGAACTGTCTACCCAATCCATCACACTTCAGCAGCTTGTTTCATCACACTTTCAATCACCATCTGCTTTTTTGTGGGCGTGTCATGTTGGACCCATTTGATCCATCACCGATCAGCTGAGCAGCTGAATCCCTCCAGCCTGGCGCGGGAACGGAGTCCGATCCCAGGTGCCGCTGGCGCGCCCTCGCCCGCGCCAGCGCCGATGTAATCCACCGTGGGCGATGGAGAAAACCAGTTCTCATGCGCTGGAGGAAGTGACGGAGGAAATGACGAAGTGCACGTTCTCAATCACAGTGTCACAGGACGATACAGTTACAGTATGAGTATGCATGAGTTATATGTTTTTTCCCCACCGAATCAATAAGGCATAATGAGCTAGTGCAGATTCAGCATCTCTGATCCTTATTTACAGGTGGTTGAGAAGTGTTGAGATCATGCTGAGTACGCTTGAAACTTCAGTCTTTGACACGGATAGTCCCAATCATGGACATAGGCTTTAAACGCCACCCTCCGAAACCCAGTCTTCAGTGTGTGTGTTCTTTCCAGGGACATTCCTGCATGGTCTAATAGAGATCATTGGGTGCCAGACATGATGAACGGGCCGAAGTCATGAGGCAAGAGCTTCTCGCTAGCAGGTTGAGCTAGCGATTTAAAGAATGACGAGAATGTCTCACGACTTCGCCTTTCTTCGGCATGGCGCCCGGGTGACCGGTGGAGCGCTCCACGGACCGGTCGTTGTCCTCCCCCCCCGAGGCCTGGACGGATCGGATTCTGTTCCGCTCCAAGACCAGGCGACCGACCTCCATGCTGGACCGGACGAGAACGACGGGGAATTCGGAGGGAACGGAGGGGGGCCAACGTCCCCGGAGAGAAGGGACTCCATGGTTCCATCCATCAGGTGTTTCCACGTAACCATGAAACTTCCAGTGTTTTTCGAGGAAGAAAGGTTTGGAATCCATGCAACCTACTGTATTCTTATCTCCTTATATGGCACCACCCTAGAAACAAGCAACACATGGTGCGGCCGATGTCGATGTGCAAGTCTTTTGAAGACAACGGTTTCTTGCTCGCTAGACCACCCACAGCAAAAAAGACGACCATGACAGCAAAGCAACCACGGTTGCAGGGGGATTGATGGCTCAATATCAGGGTGTGCCACGGGTTGATTCCCAGTTTGCCATGGAGTCAGGGACCTGGGTCGGTTCAAAGTAGTATGGGCTCCCAGTGATAACATGCAAAGCCGGAGAGAGTCGCAATTTTTGGTTTCACGTACCTGGACCTCCAAAGTAGAAACATTGCACATGACCCGATTATTAAAGCAGGTCCGTGTAATGTTGTTTGAGGCGTACTTTGAGGCTCCAGTCATCTTTTTCATAATGGTTCCACAATATTGCACTGTAAATGCGGATGTTCATGCCCAGCGACCTTGGGATGTCCCTTGGTCACACGCCCCTTCTCCCCTTCTCTTACGGCCAACCCCTTGACCTGGCGGGGGGAGGATTGGGGACATCCCAGAAAAGTCCCAAAGGTGGAAAACAGGACCTTGGTTGTCCAGGGAAACTGACAAACCATGATGCGACGTTTGATGACCAAAGCTAATGAGAGAGAGAGATGGGTTTGTGCACGAAACCTTGTAAAACGACAAGGTCCGCCTCAATCTCCCCAAACCCTTTGTTCATTAAACACAACTCAAGTAGGTCTACTGCTCCTCATGCTGCTACAACCTTCATCTTCAGCAAAGCCAACATGCTCTTCATGTCATTTGCGGAGGACGTCAGATCCGCAGATCCGCTAGACTCTAGACACTTGGTGCGTTCCATCTCTCCGTTTCCCACCCGGTGCGACGCTGCGTTGTCCCGATCCGGACTGCACTGCAGTCCGGGGATCATGGTGGCGCAGTATAACATGCATCATAACCTCAAGCAGTGTGGAACTCAGTGCTCTAGTGCTCTTACGGAGAGAACAGGGATCAGGGATCTCTGTGGCGTGGAACGGGAACGGGACGTTCCTTGTCCCGGTGCGCTTGAAATCAGATCCTTGACACAACTCCGACATCAACAACAAGATCATATTCCTATAGGTATTCTCACAAACAAACCAGGAAACCATCTTGACTGATGCAAAAGAACAAGCTGGAGGATTTGGGGAGGGCTTGATTCTGGTCTTGGAGAGATTGCTGTTCTTTGGCAATCACCCATCTACTTTTCTTCCAGACACGTATACCAATCACATACCATCCTGTCCAAAAGAGCACAAAAACAAACACATCCCCGACCAGTGACGTGCAGGAAAAAAAAGAGCACCAAACATGCTCCGTTCGAGTCGCGCCCGTCCTTGCTCCGTTCGTAGTAAGGCCAGGTTCGCTCCGTTCGAGTCGCGATGCCCTTGGCCGATCTGCGTCTGGAGGTCCGATCATCGCGTGATCTTCGCCTCGCTGCGCTGCAGCTGCGACGAGCAGATCGCAGGCGCGGACAGAGCTCGCTGGCGGCGCCGTTCGCGGCGCTCGGTGGAGCTGTTCAGCGCTTGGTGGGGGAGACGACTCCTTTGGGAAGAGGAGCGGATGAAGATGGATGAAGGCGCCTGCTTTGGAGGCTGTAGGAGGCTGTAAGTACAGAAACATCTAAGGGTTATATTATATTTTATAATGGGCAGCGAGCATACAGCAAGCAGCGCTAGATTGGTGTTTCTCTCAAAAGAGGGGGGCATCGAAACCAGGTTTGTTCGGACGGTTGTAGTCTAATGCGGTGTAGAGACGACCCGAATGATCTACCCTCCCACCAACAAACATGACAGTGGAACATGGCCCCTTGGAAGACTGCTTTCCTCTACTAACAGGAGGTTTTCCACTTCCATGATTGTTTCAGGGAGGGTTATTTTTAGGATGATCAACCTCTTCACTGCTCACAGTTCGGGGTGAGCCTCTCGACGGCCAACCTTGGATGTTAAGTGTATTATGTATGCTGAGTAGACTGACTAGACAAAGTGCCCCCCAACAAACCCAAACAGACCTGCCTTTGTTCCCATGGCATCATCATGTTGGAGTAGATCGAACATGATCGAACCTCTCGCGGCAAAACAGCTGAGCATCCTGGACTACACCTCCGCGCGGTGGATGCGGGCCGAGTACGCTCGGTGCAAAGTGGTCGCGATAATTCGGACCCTACTGGGGTCCTGTCAGCAAGAAAATTGCCACGAGAATAAAAAAGAATTCAAGAGATCTGAGGATCCACCAAAAGAACAAAAAAGAAAAGGACAAAATATGCAGAGAGAACAAATGACTGAGAGCCATCTTGAATGGCCGAGTCCAAAAAAGATACAAAATGCGCAAAACCAAATAAAAAGCCTAATTGGATGCGGCCAGAAGTGGCCCGGGCTCTTCCAGCTGCTGGTGCTGACCTGCATCACTGGCTGGCCTGCTGCTTCTGCTTTGACTGCCCCTTGCACGAATTCTGCCTATGCGGCTATTTGCATGAATCACACGGCCCCCCCCTGGGCCTCCCAAGTAGCTTTCTCTAGCTTAGATCCCTATGCTCATGGAGCTCCGGCGCCGGCCGTCCTCGCGTGCCTACATGCGAGTGGTGCTGACGTTGGCCCTACAACCAACCTTGGGCATAGCGCTTTGATGGCTCACGCGGTGCCTGAGCAGCTGTTCCATGGAGAACTGACACATCGCGCTTGTGACGCTGAGGTGGCATGGACCGCAAGAACAAGGTGGAACTTGTCTTTGTTTAGTCTGTCTTTTCGGGAGTACGGATTTCTGTTCCACTTTTGGATTCCGGTGCTTTTCCTCTGGGATCTCAGCACCCTCACGAAGTTTCTTTCACGTTTGATAAAACGACGAAACGAACCTTTGCATGACGTTTCCTTCGAAACGAATTTTGCAACTACCAAACAGAAACAGAAGCGGAAAAACAAATGGAGTCGACTGCGCCTGAAACCAGCTGTTCTCATTAAAAGAAAAGGCAGGTGGCGTCGAAGAAAAACACAATCGGCTCCATCCGATCGACCTGCTCGTCCTTTTAAGTTGATTTGGGCGGCCAGAGTCGTGCGGAAAAAACGAGTGCCAGGGGCCAGGGTTCGTTCTCGACGGCTGGCTCAGCAGCTACATATGCGAGCACGTGCCCATCGTTCAGGCCTCGTGCGTCGGCATGTGCCTCATTTTGGAACAGCCCTGAAAATTTGGAAACCCCTTTCCCCATCACAGGGCCCTCCCGATTCCTATGATACTTGGATTCATGATATTTCTGACAGCTTGCGGGGAGGTGCCGCCGGTTCGGCACGCACTTGGCGGAAACGCAAAGCAAAACAGAATAAACAGACTGCCCTTCAGAATGATTTGACTCGAACTTTGATTCAGGGCCTCAAAACTTGTCTGAACAAGGGGGCTTCTCAGCATGATTTGCTTCAAATGTTACAAAATTTTGTTGAACCCTCTGTTCCTGTCCCTCGGAAACGTCCCAAACGCAAACCTCCCGCTCAGCATGTCGACGAACATGTCGAAGTTCATGCTCGTGGGGAGAAAGATGGTCAGATTGAAAAGCGATTTTGGACTGATTCCCGAGGATCTCGGCCTTACTGGATTGACCAAAAATCCGGATGGTGGTGGTGGTCCGACCCCAGGGGAAAAGAGAAACATTCTTTTGATTCCCACAGTTGTTGGACTCCGCTGGTACATTCTGTCCCAAAGAAACCCAGTGTTTCTAGACCCAAGATCACTCAGCTTACTGCCGCCGACTGGAATCAACCCCTTTGTTTCGCTTCTCTCCAGTCTGTTACCCAAAGCATCAAAACCGGTACCCCTTGGACCACCAATGTTGTGGTTTCTGACAGTTTGCACGAAGTTGTGACCTTAAAAGATCTTTTTGATGGCTTCTCTGTCTCCCAGGGTCTTACTGTGGTACTTACCGGTGAAGCAAAAAATTTGCCCGGTGCCTTTCACACTCGACTGCGTGTCAAACGCACGGGTAAGACGGACAAACTTGAAGAAGTTGCTTTGTTTGCTCTCGGTTCTCACAGCCCATGGATTTTGCCTCCTCAGCAAGTTGAACCATCGGCTGTTAAGACAGTCGACCGTGTTGGACTGCGCATTCTTGTCCCTGGTCACTATAGAGCCAGCTTCAAGCCCTGTCCTGAAAAAGAACAGGTGACTGACATTCTTGCCGAACTTGCAAGATGGGGCCCCAAGGTTCATCACTTGACAGGTGGACGATGGAAATGGGAACAGCAGAGTCGTGACACTGCCTGGCAACTCTGCGGATGGATTTCAGTGCCGGCCGTCGAGGCCAAAAGCCTCCTGAACTCCAGTGGAAAAAGGGGGATTTTTGTCAACGCCCATCAATCTGTGTCTGACCCTTCCACCCGGCCTGAATTTGTTTGGTTTCTTAAAAACAAAGATGAAACCTGCGACCAGTACCTCCAACGGGCCTTGAATTTGGCCAATACTCGGAAACAGCCCCTTCGTATTCGCAAGGGATTTGGCAGCGACCTTGGGGTTGAACGGAAACCCGAAGATGAACGAATCAGCAAGTTTAAACATCTTGAACTTACTGGGGTCCCCGCCTGTGGAAAGCCGAAGAGATCGAACAATTGTTGACCAGTCAAAAATGGTGTGACGTTCAGGTTGGAAACCCCCGGAAAATCCAGCGCCAAGTCGTTTGGTACATTCGTGCCAAACCACCGCCCAACTGCAGTCAAACTTCTTGGCGATATCAATGTGCCGACAACTATGATATCCTGCTTAACGAGAAGGTTCGAAATGTACGTCAACCTTGGACTTCCAATGACGTCAAAGCTCCGGCCCGTAATTGGGCCCACTACGCTGAGACTGCCCCGATGCACCAAGTGTCTCATGGGGACCGCGGCCGTCCGCAGCGCCATGCTGAAACTAAGGATGCAACCAGTCGCGATCGGAGTAGAAGTCCGGATGCTGAAATACCTGCCACTGTTATTGATGTCGAAACCCAAGATGAACCACACGCCTTGGACACTCCTAAAGCTGATCCGACCGATATCCTGGAGGCCCTTCAACAAGGCTGGACTGTCAAAGACCACTTGGGTTGCGGAGACTGCGGTTGGCGAGCTTTAGCCGACAACCTCCCGTGGCAAAAAGGTGAGGAACTTGAGACTGCTGAGTGCATCCTGCGGGCCAACAAGCTTCGGTGTAAAACCATCGAATACATGCGCGCTAGGCGGGATAGATTAATTTTATTCCTAACGCTGCCAACTCCCAGGAAGCGTTTGATGCCTATCTTTCAAAGGCTGTGAAACAAAACCATTGGATCAACGGCGTACTTCTTCAAGCCCTTGCTGAAAGCTTGGCATGTTGCATTGTCATTTGGAAGGAAGACCTGGGTCAAATGAGGCGCTACGCACTTGCCAAAGATTGGCGGGATGGATGGCCCAAAGTTCATTCCAAGTCACCTTGCTTGGTCGCTCAGCGATAGCCATTACACCTCGATCCGGGCCCCTGTTAACGATATGGGCAACAGAGCCACTGTTCCCCTACATTGGCAGTATGAAACCGCTGTTCCTGACAGTGACGAATTGAAGGGCTCTGCCCGCAAGGCTATTGCCCATCCTGGCTCTCCTAACTCTAGTGCTAGTGCTAGGTCTCTTTCCATCCACACTTTGAAGGCGGCGCCTGCTGGCCCCAAACCCCTGTTTGAAGGAAACGATGCGGTTGCTCCCCCTGGTACTTGTCAGCGGGGTTCTAATTGCGCGGTCGATTCCCCCGTTTCCAACACCGGTTCTTTATCCATTCACACTTTGCGACCGGACGGGGGCTTTGGACGTGATTCTAAAAGTGTGAGAAATCTGCGGACCCCCAAAACCCAACTTTTTTCGGAGCCCGCCTCGTTTAGCCAGAGCCAAGCGGTTTCTCTTGACGCTTTAGTGTCTACCCTCAAACGGGTCTCTGATGACATTGAAAGTTACAATCCTTCTGAAACTGAAAGATTTTGGGCCCAACAGGGTTTGATTTGCTGTACCAATCTGTGTCGACAGTTCAACTGCTTGATTGATAAGCTTGATTCCCAGAGTGCACTGAACCCCGCTCCTTCTGCATCCGCCGGCCCTTCCAAAAGGACTTTCGATGACCTCGAAACTGTGGTGCGGCGCAGGATCCAGGGCAAGAGTAACGTGCACGGGACTGTTCTGCCCGAAACGCACCAGTGGAAGTGCAACTTTGTGTTCCTACGTTACTTCCAGTATCAACCGCCATTTGTTGTATGGCCGCAAATCTCTTCACCTCAAAAAAAAGCCATCCCAATCTTGTTGCCGAGTACTCTTTGAGACCCACTAACGCCAGCCCCCCTGGTCGAGCCGAGCGAACTTGACTGGAAGCAAAGGACTTGGACCTGTTCCCATTGTTTGAAAGGGCTGCCATGGGGACTTGGTGAATCACAACGACAGCGTTCCATCGACGCCCACCTCAAAAAGTGTTCTGGTCGTTCTCGCTGTGAAAACAACAAACTTTTGCTTCAGAACGATTTATTCGGACGTTATAGGCGAAACCAACGCGGTTGGCATAACGAAACTTGGCGAAACGAACGCATTCAAAAGGCGGCGGCCATGGGCCATCAGTTGGTCTCGTTTATCGATGACAACGAAGGTCTGGCCAAAAACCACAAGCTCAGAATCACTTGTCCTAGGTGTAAGCAGGCTACCAAGGATACCAGCCAGTTTTGCCACAAACCCTGCATCCCGAAGAAATTTCCAAAAAATAAGACTTGGTACCAACTGCGTGCCACCCAACCAGAGACCATGGCCAAACTCGTGGCCGCTTGGCATTGGAGGAAAAAAGAAGTTTTGGCTATCGACAAGGTGGCTACTAACTTTAGCGTCGCACCCTTGAACGCAAAGCCCTCCCACCGATCCAAGAAACTAGTTGGTTTCATGATCTTTGTGAAGAAGGTGTGGAACCCAACCCAGGGCCCAGACGACGTGACCTTCGTACTCTCCAGACGCTCCGAGTGGTTTCGGTGAATACTCAAGGTTGTCCCGGATGTTGGCGCGTTCTCGATTCTGACATCAAAGCCCATGTGGTGTGTTTACAGGAAGTCAACATGACGGAGCTTGATTTAACTCATTTTTCCAGTGCCGCGACATTGCGCGGTTGGGCCGTTTACAGCTGTCTCGGTCACGCCACTCGTCGGGGACCTCAAGCCACTGTTGGGGGTGTCATCACTTTGGTTCGTAGGGGGCTCCGTAGTTCTTCCTGGATCCATGCTCAGTCCCCGGGGGGGAAGTCCTCCCCGTCAATGTTGGCAATCTCTTGTTCCTCAATTGCTATGCCAACGGTCATGCCCTTCATCGGCATGACTTCCTCCAAAAAGTTTATGAGTTTTCTCAGGCCCAATATGACCTCCCCTGTGTCCTTGTTGGAGACTTCAATGAAGAACCCTCCACCGATTTTGGGGCTGCTATGGAACTTTCGGGTTTTACCATTTCTTGGCCTCGTGATGGGTTGAGTAGCCGCTGGGACCAAAAACAACCCCGGATTATTGACTATGTCTTGGCCAGTCATCACCAGGTTTCTACGGTTTGGTCTCGGCCCGAGCGGTGGTCGGACCATCGCGCACTTGAATTTGTGTGTGATTTGCGGCCTGACTTCGACCCTCAAGTGACTAGGTTCGAACTTGTGCCTTGTAATGTTTACCTACCTACTGACCCGAGCTTTTCCTCAATGGAGCCGACTCCTGGAGAGTGCTTGGAACCAAAATAAGGACAATTGGCAAGCTGCGGAGACAAGAATGCGCCGAATTTTGGACGACAGTTCCCTCGACCCTCAGACCAAAGCTGATCTCATTTGGAAAGACTTCAATGTGTTTGTCGAAGCCTTTTTGTTGCAGACTGCTCGTCTCTCTCCCGTGCCGATGCGCGCCACGCGCCGCGCTAAGCGAGGCAAGGGCACTCCAGCGGTCTTTCGACAAATTAATCAAGCGGTTCGAAAGCCCTACGACAATGGTGCTCCCAATAGACTCCGAGTTTTGTACAGATTGCTAGGTAGAATGCAGGAACTTGCTTTCCGACGTATCCGGCAGCAGGCCATCCCGAGCGAACTCCGGCTCAAACTTCAGCGCTGTCCCTCGTGGACACCGCAGTTGACCATCGCTGAAGTGAAGCAGCAAATCTCCGACTTAGAAACGCATCAGCGGGAGTCTAGGATCCGCCACTGGGAAAACAGACTCCGTGGATCCCAAAAGGAAGTGTTTGCCTGGCTCAAAAGAGTGAAGTCCCCCCCTACTCATATGATTTTCAATGATGAAGGTGAGTTAGGGTTAGGGGAACCGGCCGCGGTCTCCACTCAAGACGCCCTCGAAAAAATCAAATCCTTTTGGTCCACTGTTTGGGACCGAGAACGCAGTCAAAATGAAATGCTACCTGAAGATTATTATTTTCAGCTTTGGGACATCCCGGCGAGAAACCCTGAATGCTGGGCACCGGTTGACATTGAAAGTATCATCAAGAGCGCCCGCCGCCAGAAGCATAAATCAGGCGGGACAGACGGGTGGACCGGAACTGAAGTTTCCCTTTTCCCTTCTTGCATGTGGCGCGATATTGCGGTCTTGTTCGGATGGTTTGAGGTCCTCGGTCATTTCCCCCAGATCTGGGGAGAGGTTCGTCAGGCCCATCTCATGAAATCTCACGCCCCCCGGTCTAGTGATGGGGCTGTGCCCGCTAGCAAAATGCGACCCATTGCTGTCATGTCGGTCTGGTATCGTATGTACACCGGGGCCCTTCTCCGAACTTCTCAAGCCCAGGACTGGATTAATTCCGTTTTGGATCCTGTCCAGCACGGATGCCGTCAGAAACATGACTGTCTCCAAGCTGTAGTTCCCCTCGCTTCGGCTCAAGCTCAGGGACATTTCATTTGGTCATTAGATCTCTCTCAAGCGTTTGACAGGTTGAGGCCTGAAGTGGCGCTGAGGAGTCTGACTCATTTCGGGTTCCCCCCTCTCCTTGCCAACGCCTTCCAAAAGATTTGGAGCTCTCAGCGCCGCGTGCTGCAATGGCAAGGCGAGAGTCTTCCGGTTCCCTGCCATGTGGCAAGTAGCGTTCCGCAGGGTGATCCGTTGAGCCCCTGGGCTATGAACGTGGTCTTACGAACACCGACAGCGGTCATTCGCCGTCTCCATCCTACTGGTGTACTTTCAGTCTTTATGGATGATCGAAGCTTTTCTGCTGCGTCCCTTGAGACTGGAAAGAGCATTTGGGAAGCTTGGAAGAACCATTCTGCATGCCTTGGCCTCAGAGAAAATTTGGCTAAAACACAAATCTTCTCACGCACACAAGACGGCCAGTTTCAGATCCGCAGTGACCCTGAGACGGCTCCGTGGGCGAAGGACGCCCTGGTGGCATTAGGTGTTTCTTTCACCCCTCTGGGGTGCAAACCCACTCAAAAAGACAGCGACCGGTTCTCCAACGCTTTGAAGACTGCCGCAAAACTCAAAGTTGCTCCTGTGTTGGCCAAAGAACGTCTCCTCCTTGCTGCATCCGCTGTGACCACAAAGGCTACGTACGGATGGGCACTGCGAGCTCCTCCCCTGCGCAGTTGCACACAACTTCACAGTCGACTTCGAGCTGCTGGTTTCGGTCATAGGTCCGCGTCGGTGCCTCTGACCCACTTGCTCTTGGGTCACACGACCAGTTCAATGTTCATGGCTGGCTATTTGGCGAGTCTCGCCCTATACCGCAGTCACCGTCTTGAAATGAAGGTCGCCACAGACTGGGGCCTTGCGGGTGGTTTCGTCCAACGAGTACGAAAATTTCTGGCCTCCTTAGGCTGGTCGAGCCCCAGGCCATGGCTGTGGAAGCACATCCCACTCAACCTACGTTTTTCTCTTGCACCACGACACTCAGAATTTCCAGACAGCAAAGACCACTTCGGACATCTCCTCCGGGAGAGCTGGAGATATTCTATGTGGAACTGTTTCTTACAACAGGATCGAAAGGACTCTGCGGCGTTGCGGAATGTTCCTTATGACTCTGGTCGTATCAAAGCTGCGGCTGCTGCGGCGCACCGAGGCAATGCTCACGAAGTGAACATTTTGTGTGGTGGCTTCATTAGCCCTATGCGGTTTCACCAAACTGCTCGGTCAGAAACCAAACCGAGTGGTTGCTGCCCATTTTGTAGTTTCTTTCCAGGGGATCGGAAACATCTCTTTTGGGATTGTCCTGTGAGGAACCCCAACCGAACGGAACCTTCGGATCTTACTGAAGCCGTGTTGGGCTGGCCGCCTGTTGGCGGCCATTCTGACACTTTGTCCCGCCTGGGGCGGGTACGCAAGGAGATGCTCGATCACCGTTATGGTGGTGCCACCCCGGGGGGGTGGGGGGGGGCGGGTATCTAAGGATTTGTGCTGCTGTGCGTGGCGGTGTACCCGCGCTGACTGCTGCCTTGCGTTAGCGCTGTGGTCGTCCGTCATCGTCTACTTTCATCGTCATGGCAAAACAGCTGACCAAAGATGAATCGATTGATGGTTTGTTGCATGACAAAACAACTCAATGACCAAACACTTTCATGACAAACACGGTTTCAACTCTCAGCTGGTCATGTTTCAGGCCGTCGGCGGCAACGACCCACGGCTTTTGGAGAGGCTCCGTGGACACCAAGGGATACGTCATGCCGCCCCCTCTGTTCTACATGACATTCGCTTGCTTAATCAGACCATGAGGCTACATAAAAGACCCTAATGATATGGAGCTGAACAAAACTACAGTTACCCAATGATCTGTTTTTTTTCCGGGAAGACTTTTGCATCAGATCGGCCGGTAGGAATAGGAGAACCACAACCAACCACAACAACAACAACCACAACAACACCACAACAGCCACAACCACAACAACGCCACAACAACCACAGCTGTAGCCGTGACCGCAAGCAGCGGCAGCAACAGCGCCAACAACGACAAGAACACGAACAAAAACCACACCAACCCAACAAACAATCAAGCAAACAACCAAACAACCAAGCGCTCAGAGCCAGTTGCGCAAATCGTGTTGAGTCGATTTTATGGATTCTGTTGCGTTTTGCAAAAGAACCACACTCTCCCCTTGTCGCTGTCGAACATTCGCAGTTTTACCATTGGACGCTCCGGTCGGAAACCACGCTGGATGATGCACTCATCTTGAACTCATTGGTTTAATCTTGGGTGGGCTTCTTGCTTCTTGTGACTCATATAGTGCAGTGGAACTTCGACTGAACCCAGTTCTTCAGAAAGAGTAAAGACCTACTACAGGGTGAAAAATGAGGACAACCTGATACACGGAGAAGGGACACCAGTGAGCCAACCATCAGGGTGATGGGTTTCCCCCCCCCACACACACACACGCACCAATCTCAATCTTGTCAAGCGCGGCATATGGTTAAAGCATGCGCAACGATTCTCCACCACTCCAGTTGGTCTCTTATCCAACTTCGACCCACAACAGGGCAATTGTTTTCCAGGCAACTACCCTGGCGGTGGAGCCCAAAGAGATCTCCTTCAAGGACAGCGAGGGCTGTGTCAAAGAGGGTGATGGATGTGTCGGGTTGCTGTTGTTTTTGTTCCTTGGTGAACAGTTCTTTTGGTGGTTCTCAAGACGACTCTATTTGTTCATGCATTTTTTTTGGCTGGTCATGACCGAGATGTGACTCCGCAGCCGGGCCCTATCTAACATATGGTTTTGGCTTGAAAAACCATGGAAAAACAGAGCATGCTACTGTCTATGACTGTAAATATGTAATTCATATAATAAGACAACTTAATTCAAATGAACTTCATAGTCAGAGTCAACTCCCTTACGGAATCTTTCAGATGTCGAATCATTCAATTCCGCACCTCTTCCAACGGACTCAGAGAAACATCCGGTGAGTTTTGTTGCAACAAGGGCATCTCTATTAGTAACAATTGCATCGCTACGAAGGTCGCAATTCTTGCTACGCAGCCAACGAGCATTTTAAAGCATTCGAAGAGAGTTTTCCCGTTTTCCGATCTCTTCAACGTCCGACGTCGAGACCGTCTCAGGGTGCCAAGCCGGACGTGGCCATGCAGCATACCGTGCAGCTCTCGATGGCTTGTGGGGCCGCTGAGTGGCCAAAGCGGTGGAGTGAATGTTAAGGCCTCATAAGGTCTGACAGGCCTCTGGAGTTGGTGGAAGTGAATGTAAGACCTTATGTAAATTAGTAATCCAATGCAGCAAGATATTCAGCAAGATTGGATAGTTGGAGAGTTACGGAGAGTTGAACGGTTGAACCAGATTGATCTTGAAGAGTTGCATTCCACGCATCATTCCTTGGAGAGGGTGGATCATTGGATCGGCGTTTTGGATGAGAATGCCATGTGCTCGGCCAATGGCTAAATGGCCAAGGCTTACCCTTTATTAGGCCTCTTAACCTGTTGAGGTCCCGGATCTTCTCGGATTATTTACGCCTCAGAACAGGCCAAGTGTCCAAACGCTCCGTGAAAACAGCTCGACCGGTCCCTCAAAGCATCAAAACATATCAAAACATCGTGAGAAACCCCAGACTCCTCCAGAGGATTCAGGTCCGATCCCTGCATTTTTTGTCAGGCTTCAGGAGTGTTTGGATGGCTTTTATGTTTTGGCTGATCAGGTGATATGGTGATTTTCCCGGTCAGCCCCCAGTTTCCTGGTGATGTTCTTCCCAGCTTCGACAGCGAATCAAAGTGACCAAGCGAAGCAGACGATCCGAGCGGTTCTTTTCACCGATCGGAGCGGTTGGACACGACGGCCACGAGCGTCCCCGAGGCGCGAGCGGCTTGCTGCGGCAGCGCTACGAGGCGGGCGGCAGCGCTACGGGTGGGGCAGGAAGGAATGCGGTGCCTGGAGCACAAGCAGCATGTGAGCAGGATGAGCGGGAGACAAGCAGTTGTCGGTTTAGACAAGGATGGAATAATGATTGGAATGACTCGGTCAAGAAATGTGGAACAGATACAAACAGTAAAAAAAAAGTGTTTTCCAAACAAGCCGAGTCGCCTCCCTGTGGCACCACAAAAACCATCGAAATGGAGATGTTCCCAGCGTCTCTCGCTGGCAGTGCGTAACGCGCTCTGCGCAGAGCCGAGCGCTTGCGCCTGGTAGTTCGAGCTGAGGTCTTCTTTGAAACACCCGGTGGCTTTGCCTGGCCACTAGCAGGCGCGGCCATGGGAAACGCATGGGCCATGTTTGTTTGTTTGTTTGTGTGTGTGTGTCCACCCCTGGACAAAGGGTTTCCTTCGACCACTCCAAT